TTGATATGATTATAGCAGGTTATCCGGGTCAACATGGGATATATCTCATCTCCTAGAAATCTATACAAAAAATTAAAACGTAACTAGGGACGAACCCGAGCGGGGCGAGGGTGAGTTGCTAGTTATAGGTAATAAAAGTTAAAGATAGGCAGATATGACACAAAAATAGTTTAACTTAAATTGTAGGTAATAAATGCGATTTTATGATTTTTTAAAATCATTTCCATAAAACATTGAAATTGTATTTTTTTGTAATTATTTGTATAAAAAAACCTTTAGAACCTAAAAATGATGTAGCAGAAGTTATTTATTACTTTTTTTTACTTTTATGCTTCAAGGGAGGTGTTGTTTAAGAACTTTTTTCAACGATTTATTCTTATGCATTTCCTGTAAATTTTTGTAATTTACTATTACTTCTTTTGTTCACCTCCTACTGATTTAACTAAAATACAAAAATTACTTGAATTTTGCTCGTATTTACACTGTATTAAAAGTCCATGTTAGATATTCCTTCCGGTAACTAACTCTCTTAGTCATTTAAATAACGATTTTTTATGTTATTGATCAGGAAAATATCAGTGAGAATCGATTCAAAATATAAAATATCACACGATATAGTATAGAATATCAGTTAAAGACTTAAAACGGTTAGTACGAGCGGTGGTCACCGGATGTAGAGACGACAGGTGTTTTGGCAACAGGATGGGAAGTTAGACTTTGTTTAGTCTCTAGCTTCTCTGATACGAGCCACGTCAGATAACTTGAACTATCCTGATTTCTCGTATACAAACAGCATATGTTATTATTTATATCTTAGTAAATTCATATTAACCTCGCTGAGCAGGTGTTCGTATGGGACAAACCTATTTTGATATGCTACTTTGTACATATTATCTATCGATGTCGGTATATATTATACTAAATATAAAAGATCGAATATATTTAAAAGTTTAAAATCACGTTTAAGTGTTAAGTTCTGACGATCTCGCATATTGTTATTATCTGACATATAAAAATTATATTGTTTTTGTTTTGCTACGTAAAAATAAATGTATAATGTAAGAAAAAAGCCGTTATTTTTAAAATAATTAATGTACAGCAGTTAGTTTTATACGCATTATATATATGTATGTATATATATATACATATATATATGTATGTATATATATATACATATATATATATGTATGTATATATATATACATATATATATGTAGGAAAATTAGATAGAGAATATGAGACGTTATTATAATGATAAGTAAAGCTTAATCAATACGATTAACAATAGAGTAATATTTTTTCTCGTATGATATCAGCATGTGAACTAACAGTCAATTAAAAATATAATTGCTGATCATATTTTTTTTTATTTTAAAAAAAGCAAAGAAATAAATTGACGGTGCGCTTGGCTCAATTTGTAATGACCCTACTTGCGGTGCCAGCGGTCGCGGGTTCGAGTTCCGCTGGCATGAATGATGAATGCCCATTCATTTGTGTGATGAGCATGAATATTTGTTTTTTAGTCATGTGTGTTTATATTTATAATATGTATGTATTTAAATTTATATACGTGTAGTGCATCGACTATCTGGTATCCGTAACACAAGCCTCATAGCTTACCACGGAACTAGAAGGTGCTGTATGTTAATGTCCCAACATATTTATTTATTTTATTGTAGAGAGTAGTGTAATGCATCAATAATTATAATAATGATGCATTACACCGCTCTCTTTGTAGCTATTTGTTTTAATTACAATATATCGTAACATAAAATACGAAACTTCATTCGCTAAATTAATTGTATTTTGCCAATTAAATGTTACTCGAGAGATTCAAAAAAACATCGCTTTGCTTACATATAAATAATAAGCCATTCATACATATGCATAAGGTTTTTTATCCGAAATAAATATACCTACGTATATAACATAATTATAAATTATTCCAATTACCGGCGACCAGACACGACAATAACAAACTATCGCTATATCCAAACTAACTTTAGATAGTTTCTAGAACAAGTTGATAGAAAACTTTATAATTAACATCCAGCTTTTCGTTAAAAGTTATTGAACTCAAAAAGTTAAGTCATTGCACACAAAATCATCTCGAAAACAATGGAATAAAATGTAACTACTTAGAAAAAGTAGTAAAAACATTAAAAAAAACCGGTTTCGCTTAATTTGTTTGATAGATTTTTTTAAATAAATATTTGGACTCTACCTTGAGATCAGAAGAGTGATCTTGATGTCACAAATCACAGAATCATTTTCATTTTAAACTTTTGTTCTCAGCGGATCATCGCTGACCGACTTCGACGGAGGCTTACATGCAACTGAAGGTTGTTTGCGTACCCCAGACCCAGGTACTGTGATCTCTTCGCTATTAACCGGACGAATAGCGAAGTCATTATTTCTCACACGTCATTACCGGTCGGAGCAACCATTTAGCACTAATACAATTTGGTAAGGTTACCTCGAACATTGTATCGCATCGTCCACTACGGAAGAAAGAGATGAAAAGTAGTAAGTATAGCGCGAGCCTTCGGAGAGATTAAGGAAGCCGTATGTAGATGTGTCAGTCGATGCTGTTACTATTATTTGGTACATATGTATTGCTTTCTTTGTACTTTAGTTCCACTTTGCCTGTTTTTGTTTTTGTAAATGTTTAGATAGTGTTATATAAATTAAATATTATTTAAAGTACTCTGAGAAATAAATGTACCATTGCGTTGTAATAATATAATAAATAATATTATCTTACATTTTACTTTTCTTATGAAATAGATTAAAAACATTAGGTTAAAAAACAACAATATGAGTGTTAGTTAAAATTTTATTTTGCATATAAAATATATTAGCGTCTCCACTCTCCACGGAACTCTGTCCTGACGTCACCCACTTAAAATGTGACCGATGCGACTCTCGACTTTGTTCCCAGAGTGCCTCAAGGATAACAGTGCCTTAGTTCACTGCTCCCGCGCACCCGCGTGTGAAACTTGGCCAGTGGGCAACCTGCTGTTACACTCGTCTAATACTATGTACTTAATATTCGACATATTTTTTTCATAAATTACGCACCATTTAACAAATTTTAAGTAAACGTTTGAATTCTCAAAAAGGTAATACATGTTATATAATATCTAGTGCTTATTATACAGAGGTTATGCTAAGTTTAAGGAATCATTGGAAGTATGAAATTAGATCTTAGAAAGTATTTAAACCAGAATATTGTTTTTTTTAATATTTTCTTTAGAAATTATAAAAAAATATGTTTTTTTATTCAAGGTTAACAATAATTCAGTACACTGCTCCCGCGCAGGCTCCTACGCGAAACTTGACCAATAATAACACCTGTGCTCTCTACGATGATATATATTAAAACATTACACTGTATGTTTGTTCGATAGCAAAAGTATGTTTAAATCGTGACCAATATTTATTTTGAGATTGACACTACTTCCGTTACGTCCGTACATACTGCCTATTAAAGTATGTTGTCATTTTTATCTACTTGTAAATTCCTACCGCTATTTGTTTGGTACAGTGTGAAATGGTGTTTTTTGTAATGTTGTTTTTATGTAATTATATTTGTCTAAACACAAATTCAAATATAATATTTAGCATGTAGGTACTTTGTATTTTTTACCCCACAGCGGTGAAGCCTATGTATGTATGTCCTATGTTCCCTTGTAGTTACTAAACGGCTTAAACGATTTTGATGATTCATACGTCGTTCGGTTCATCTTGAGATAACGCGAGAGTCATGGGGTATTATATAGATATTTAAAACAAACAAAATTGCGAATCCTAGGCATATCCATAGGTGTTTCAAAATATAGGTCTTTAAGAGACAATTACAAAATTATATTCAACTTATATGTTTAAATTTTATAAGTAATTTAAGATTAGAAATTGTTAAATAAACTAAAAATGTCTAACTGATGAAACTAAAAAGCTGTAAATACAAAAAAAGTTTAAAAATATAAAAAAAAACTGTTTTCACCTTTTTAGTACATTTTTTTACGAAGTGTTTTATTTTTGTAATTATAAAATGAGAGATAATATTTTCAAACAAGAACATAAAGGAGCAAACGCTAGTGTCACAAAATGCCTTTGTTTGCCGTATATATTAACAGTAATTGCCTGACGTTCGCTCGGGTGATAAAAAAATTATAGATACATCGAATGAGCTCGTATGTCTGTACTGTTCACATTTATTGTACTCGTATGTATATATAAAATTCAAGTACACTTCTTTCTTTATTTAATGTACTTATTTGCACGTTAACTTGATAATACCTAATAAACTTGATGATAACTTTTGCTTTAAAACATATAATAACTTATTATATAATTGTTTTTTGTTATCGAATACAAAAAATTAATTACATATTCACCGACTTTTGTCATTTGATGGTCGAAAGAAAATATTTGTATGTGCGACAATAGAAGTCTCCACCTCCACTACCAAACAATACTATACCATACCAGTATACTCTTAATAGAACAATATTAATCAAATCGACTCAATAATATGATATTATCATCGATTTTTTACCTTTAGTAATTGTTGATAATAATCATGGTGTAGAATGATGTCCAAAATATTAAAAGCAAAAACCTTATAAACCAATACTTATTTTTTTAATTTCCGAAACTCACATGTAAACTCGCACGTCACATATAACTCGCAAACAATGAGCTCGCATGATGAAGCAAAGAGATAATGCTTAATAGCTCTGAATTGTCAAAGTTTTTACAAGCAGACCAGTTATTCTTTGTTTACACGTTGATCACATCGCTTATTTATATATAATTATTGTCAATGTATTTTTGGGTTCCGTAGGAAGTTATAATTTTTATTTAAGTACCTCTATAAACTAACAATTTTCATTTAAGCGTTGTCGACTTGTTGTGGGAATCGAACTTGCATTCAACTTAAGCAAGCACGCTGACGGTATTATTACATTATTATGAACACGTGTAGCAGGTATTCAATCAGAATAATATGTAAATCTCGCTAAGAATAAACATACCTGGTCCTCATCCCTGTAGTCAATTATTTCACTTCTGAAAACAAAAAATGCTCTATTGAGAAAAACAATATTATATTTTGCGAGACTTAACATTTCTCAAGATGTGCTCCAACTTTATAGCATTTTAAAGCAGTAGTAAGCTCCTGTTTGGAGAGTGCTTAGGTGCCTAATTAGTTTGCATTATTCGTATTCAATGGATTTTGTTAAATTTTTTACGATTGGGGAAGAAATATTTAACAATTATTTTCTAATTGTTTAAATTTTGTAAAATTACTAATAATACTGTAAGAACATGTAAGTATATTTTACCTGCTTCGGAGTTTTTTGATAACAGGCATTTGCGCGGTGCTGTCGTGGATCCGTACTTGGGTGGGGTCTATTTCCTCACATTCGTCGTTGTCAAAATGTAGCTGACCAGTTCTTCGGGCCAATATGGAGTCCATGAATGGACTGTAAATGTGGCCTGAAGTACCCAATATGTCATCGATGTCGGTATAACGTGATATGTATTTTTCAGATCCTTTTTGGTATGGCAAATTTACTGAATCACGTCGATATTGGCGATTATTTTCGTAGGGCGAGCTGCGTCCTATTCTATAATCGTGGTTGGGAGTTTCTAAGCCTTCAGGGCTTCTTCTATCGCCGAGTGGTTCATCATCGGGTAGATGCAGAGGGAAAGGCGGAATCTGGCTTGTCGGTATGTATACCTGTACTTCTTCGGAATCTGAAGAGTCGCTGTCTGATTGAGGTGGTGGCGTCGGCAGCTTTTCAATCCCTTCTGGAATATTTTTATCACTAGACAACCACCAAGGACGTTCTCCAGATTCTATATGTCGTATGCGCCTTTGCTGGAAATTTCTTTGATCAGAACTAGACTTGCTCAAACTCAAACTGTTCTGAGAATCTTGTCTGTTAATACTTTGCGTATTATCATTACTTGCTAATCTCCATTCCTTTCGATCTCCTGACTCGTTTTGTCTTATTTTAAAGAAGTTAAATTTTTCGCTTTTGTCACTGTCACTTGAAGACTTCCTGGGAGGAGTGAGTCTTTCAATTCCTTCAGGAATATTTGCATTACTATCTAGCCACCAAGGTTTTTCGTCATCTGCGAAACAATTTAACCGGAGCGGAACTTTTGAATCGTTTGTTTCAGGAGAATTTGAAAGTAGCGATTGGTTTTCTTTGCATGATTCTTGGCGTTTCTCCTTATCATTAACTTTTTTCTTATCAACATCCGATTCTAACCACCAACTTCTGTCTCCTGATTCAATGGGTCTTATGGCTTTCAATTTTACTAAGCTATCTTCATTAGATGCAATTATATTATTAGTATTATTTTTAGTTGAGCCATTATCAATCACTAAATTTGTAGTGTCTTTATTTGGAGATTCCGATGAATTACTATCTATTAAACGTGTAGTTTCAGTATTGTCATGATGTCTAAGCTTAAACAGGTTAGTAACAGGTGCTAAAGCTCTAATTAAAAATGATTTAGCTTCTTCCGTACCTTCATTCTTTGGCTCTACTGACGTCTCAGTTACATCGTTTGTTTTTAATTTTAATACAGTTTCATCTTCGCTTATAGAAGTTTGTGTTGATAAAGTTATACTAGATTCTGGACTATTACTTTCTCTAGATTGAGAATACTTTAGTTTTGAAGGACCATTGGAAATATTTGTAGTAGAAACAGTTCTGTTTAAGCCCTTTGAAGACGTTTTATTTGAGTTTTTAGACTTATTACTTTTATCACAACTTTGGTCTGAATCAGTAGAACTTACTGATTTGCTTCTTTTCTTCACAACTTTCTTAGAGGATGTTGAATCAGAAGAAGAATCTGTGCTAGACTTGCGAATTTTTGTTTTTTTAATTTTACTAGCACTTTCTGACTTTGGTGGTTGGGGTGGTAGCTGATGATTATTAGTTACAGTTATTTCAGGTGTCAATAGTTCTGTAGATGTTATTGCAGATTGAGGATTACTTGATTTTTTTAACTTAAGATTCACATTAATTATAATTTCAGAAGTATCATCATCCTTTTTTTGCTCAAGTATTGGACTGCCTTCATTCGCATGATAATCTACATAGTTAGTCGTTATAGATAATTCAGTATCCCTTTCTTCTATGTTACAATTTTTATTGTCTGTTGGTACAGGCTCTTTGCTTCGACTTCGGCTACTTCTATCATTGTTGCAACTTTCTCTTAGATTTGAATACTGTGTTGAATATCTTCCTGCATAACCTGTATAATTTGTAGAATTAGGTGAATAATAAGTCCAATTTGTCATACTAGTTCTACTTGTACTACCAAATCTACTAGTTCGTGTTGGGTCATCGAGTCGATCAGATTGTATTTCTTTATCTATCATTTCAGGTCTTTTTCTTGCTCGAGTAATAATTTTTTCCACTGTTTTAGCCATATCAGCTCTTCGCATTCTTACATATGCAGATGAACCAGGTGGCGTTGGTGATGTATGTCTGGTTATAACTGAAACTTTTTCTACATCATCGTTCTCATCAATAATAATTTCAGTGCCATTCCGAGTACAGTCTGTGTTGTTTTCATCGTGTTTTTCTATTTTTTCCTCTACTATACTATTTGTGATCTTATGTCGTTCATTGTCTGGCTTCACTATTTCTAAGTGATTAATAGGTGAAACAGAACTCCTCTTTATAAGCGTTGGACTTCTTAAGTAGCTCGATGATGCTAAACGATTGGCTATAGCATATCGGTTTACAGTGACTTCAGGCTTACTATCTATCCTGGTGGTAGGATTTGGCTTAGAATAACTTGGCGTTCGTGGATATAGTTTATAATTCGATAGACTACTGTAATTTGTTGTCTTATCAGTCTTAATTGGAATGTCTTTGTCGCGATCTGCAGGACTTAAGTCTTGGCCTTTTTCTTTAAAATTCTTAGCTGTTCTTCTCTCTGGACTGGTCTGTCTCGAAATGTTAGATGTTCGATTGATACTATATTTAGATATTGGGACTGGGCTTACATCTCTACTTCGAGTCGTATACAACGACGGAACGGAAAGCTTGGAGTAATCTTTTTTTTCGTATTTGGAAGTCGGCTTGTCAGCAGTCGTGGTTTTGCTGTAGCTTGCATAACGATTTGCGATGGTGGATATTGGTGTTTCTTCTCGAGTGGAGCGGTCATTAAGCACAGGAATGCTGGATGACTTGTACGAAGGAGTAGATGTATACTTGGCAGTGACAGTGGTTGGCCGGTCTGTAGAGACACTAGAGGTTCTGGTAGAATCTCGGTTTTTGCCATATGTAGCGGACGAGTCATACTGCAAAGTAGAAAAAATATAAATTATTTAATATTTAAATAACTACAAGCATTTAATATAAGGATTTGCTGCGTTAAGTACAGAATTCTTAGTCATGTAATATTTCCAAATCCATAATCCTCATTCAACACTATCAGACATTAAGCTGTTCCTTACACCGCTTTATAAATAGCAGACGGAATGTGTTCGCAGATAACATACAAGGGTTTTATTGAGCCCTTCCCTCTCACAGCAGACTGATTAATAGTAACTTGAAGTATAGAGCTTACTTTCATTATTAACTGATATCTTGAACTTAGGCATCTAAAGATATTTACATATTTTGAAAATATTTAAAGTTAAAACTTACATAGTTTCTGTACGACATTTTATATGATTTTCAATTTTTCCATAAGACTGAGATATTTGACTCCAATGAGTGTCCTGAAAACATAAATATTCCAGATAGAAAACTATTTTATACTTATAGTTATAATGCACATAAAAATATTGACATATATTTTGTGATGTTAAAGTAAGGACTTGCTCAATATTTATAGTCAACGGGACGCAGTCTAGGACGTCTACTGTTCGTAAACCAGTTTTTTAATTCTTGAAACCTTACACGGAATCGATCCCAGTCCCAGTGACAGTTGCCGGAGACCTGTTATATTACGTCCAGGCTCAAGAGCTGCCAGCGTCTGCCGTCTCCGAGCAGTCACTAGCTATTTATATGATTAACATCTTGTGTTTTTATTATGGACTACAGTTTTTAGTTTTAAAATAGACACCGTTTCAATTCAATGTTTCCGCAGTGACCCACATCGACTGATGGGCAAAAGATGGATTACTTTTTAAAACCAGATGCTATGTGTTCATTGGAATTAATATTTTTTCTATATAATATATTTATTATATTGGAAGTTTTGCTTTTGTGAATTGAATTAGGTTTTAACTGGATAGTATAATTGATTTTCCGGTATCACTGCGAGCTTCGTCTGTAACCTTGTTAGATGCAATCTTGAGAAACATACGAAGAAATTTCATTAAATCCACCTATTTCACTACTTAAAAATTCTACGGTTATTTTTAGATGTTTTTATTTTTTTAATTTCACCGTCATATTTACACCGTGATGAAATTATAACTATTTTTTTTTATTTAGGACTATCACCCAACATTCATTTTTTAATCTAGACGAAAATTAAAACAGAAGTGGCGTAGTAAAACCTACGATGTTAAATGTAGCATACTCTATCGTTATAAATACGAAAGATATAAATCTCGACGCCGGATCTCATAGTTAAAGCTCGTGGCACAATACACTGCTTCCGACTAATATAATTACATAATAAATTTAACCCGAAGTGAATACCGGCACTATTTCTGTCACTATTGTATGCTTTTCTAAATTACTATTATAAAGTGGCGTGGGGTTGAGGAGTCGGGCAGCGGCCCTACTTCGAGTTAGCATGCATATTCATTTTGTTAAGAATCATAATGTTTTTAACCACCGACGCAAAAAGGGTGTTATAAGTTTGACGTCGATGTCTGTCTGTGTAACTCTATAACTCTAAGTCTTTGCAATATAATAATATCAGACATACACAAAAAAGTCCATTATTTCTTATTCCATAAACTATTTATATGAAAAATCATATCAATTTCGGTTGATTAAAGAATTATCACATATCATTTTAAATGAAAATCGAACCCAACTCGCATAGTAAGATAGCCCGACCCGATATTGACGTAAACAATGTGTATTCAAAAAGTAACTGCTTCTACTTAATTGCAAGATCAACATTCCGAAGCGACGCGATGGAACCGCGACCTTGGCTCATCTCTACCAGATATTTTAATTATTCTGTAGTAGCTTGATTAAATATTTCTTTGAATATTTCGAGCTACTTCTGATAGTTTTTATAGTAAACTAGTTTATCTCCACAGCTTCGCCCGCGCTCTTGGATATCGCAAAAATATCCTCCATACGTAAATATTCAGATGTACCAATTTTGAAGACGATCAGGTAATAAATCTTGAAATATAAAGATAAATTTACCTACTTCTCTATATAAAAACAATTACATGCATTAAAATTTTCAAAAAATGGGTAAAGTCTTCGGTGGTTTGCGACGATATTTTCGATATTGTTTACATTGGCAAAAGTCAAATAGTTTAGTAAAGATATTTTGAATTTGGATTTAGATCAATAAGAAACTAAATTTAATTTTTTAAATTTTAAAAACAATTTTTTTTAGTATTTTTAGAAACAAAACACTTTTATAAACTATATATTTTTATATTTAAGTAATTTTAGTTATAGTTATACTTAAAATATTATGTACTATTCCTTCGAATTTACCCTTTTCGTCGCGTTTGAAACCTAAAATAAATATCATAGATGAAAATCGAACCCCCTACCACTAAAGCAAGACATACGGCCTTCCACAAAACGTACACTCAGATCTAAACTAAACATTGGAAAGTTGTAGAGAAAAGGCCCCAGAGGTGAAGCTAAAGGGCTCTATGACCATAATGCGAGCTTTATTGGCTTTGAACAAAATGTTCGATGAAAGCTTTAATACACCGTGAATAAGCTCACTCATTTCTTGATCGCAGCTGAGATAAGTGTATGTGGGTATTCAGCGCAAGTCGTCGACAGCTCGACTAGGAATTACTGTGTAGCTTCCATATTACAAGTGGTTTGTCAATGCTTATAAGTAAAATAAGATTAATTAAAAGAAAAGGGAAGGAAATATTGTAGAGCCTCATCGATCTCGATCGAGAAGATCAAAAAGTTGACGACACGTTTGGCTCAGTTTATAGTGATCCTACTTGCTGTGCCAGCGGTCGCGGGTTCGAGTCCCGCTGGAGGCATTCATTTGTGTGATCAGCACAAATGTTTGTCCTCCAATCATGGGTGTTTATATTTATAATATGTATCTATTTAAAATTATATATATGTAGTGTATCAACTATCTGGTATCCATAACACAAGCCTCGTAGCTTACCATGGAACTAGGTGGTGCTGTGTGTTAATGTCCCAACATATATAAAAAAAAATGAATAAATACATACTTTTTAAAAGTAATAATATGCATCGACCGTTTGATGCGGGGCTCGTTAAAACACAATCAAACGAGCCTAATACCGAATTTATTTTTCCAGTAGCTATAATAAAGGTCCATTGTCAATCTATTTATTGGCGGTACCAATATCATTTCAAACTAGCGACTCACCTTTGCTTCGCTCGGGTTCGTCCCTACGTTACGTACGTTACGTTTTAACATTTAGTATCGATTTTTTAGAGATGAGATATTTTCCAGCAGTAAAAAGTATCTTAAATGTTGACCCGGATAACCAGCTATTTTCATACCAAATGTCATCAAAATTCTTCCAGTAGTTTTTTTGTGATGTGGTAACAGACAGACAGACAAACAAAAATTCTATAAACTATAAATTCGGCTTCAGTATCGATAATAATGTCTATTTCAATAAGATTTTCCAAAAAGTATTTAATGTACAGATTCGGCTTAGTTATAATTTTATTAGATTATTCTATTACAATTCGAGTTCCACACACATAAATGATTTTTGCTAAGCATCTATGAAAAACAATGTTATAGTATTTGCTATTTATAAAAAAGCTCCTTTAGACAAATTTACTAATTTAATGAGCATTAGAAAAAATAAGAGGTTTATAATAAATCAGCCCTTTTTAACATATTCTATGTCGCAAGATGGCAACAACAAAAACCAAATTATGTTGCCAAGATTTCTTCAGATGTAAACACGTTTATCGCTTAATTTGTTAACTATTTTTTATAGTTCTTCTATTTAACGTCGCAGTTATAATAGCGTTTCAGTTTAAAATATTTGTAGCAAAGCGATAAGGGATTTGAACCCCCTTCCTCGACACTAAATGGTTTTCAATGAATGCACTGAACTACAGTGAATCACAAACAGTTCGGTGCTCCGTAACTTCATGCTACACATATACAGACGGCTATTTTAAACAGCCATATCCCGCTATTACTAATTTATTTTATGTTTTTTTTAGTTAGTAAACTACAGTAAACTTTTTGTTTTTGATATTAAATCTAATTTTAAGATGTGGTCCAAGGCTATAAGCTGACATTATTACAGCTTGATATTACAAACTACGATAACTTTATAATATGAAAATGCACAACAATTATAAAAAATTAAAATAGTGTTGTCCGGAGAAATGCTGCATGATAAAAGGATATTCTGTTATGAAATCTTAAAAGCCAGATCTTTGCCAGGTTGTCATAGAGTGGTGCACTTAGTGGTACACGTGGTACACGTTACACGTTGGAGGTTCTCGCGGGTTTGATTAGTACTTCTTAATAATAATTTATTGATTCAATCAATGAAGGCGAGCTTTATCCTGTAAAGACATTTAATGAAGTATTACATGCTGTAAATATCTAACTAAAAAACTAACAACCCAACTAAATGTCCACACCATGAGTAGTATATATTAGAATTTAAAGTTAGCACAAGAGCAGTCAGACTCGCAATGCATAGAATCCGATACAATAACATAGGATCGACTAGATTTATTTACGTCGAGTGAACACCACGAAAATAAATGGCCTACTCCCGGCATAAGTGTCAAAGACTCGGGTTCGCCAGGTTGTTGGCTCTCTCAAAATGGGGTCAGCTTTCAACGCGTATGCACGTTCTGCCTCTGCCTGGACTGTAGACTAGGCTTAGGTCACATTCAATACCTGTGTTTAGGACTAACTAAGGACATCTAAAAACCTTTGAATGTTAAACAACATAAAATGTTCCCATATTTATTAGTGACCTGGTATAGTATCAAATTGGGTATTGTATAATGTATATTAGTAAAGTATAGTACTTGAATCAAAACTAGCGATTCAAATAAAATTTCCATTTGTACAAGATTTTGTACTGAACATGTAACGCTTGAACGAAATGACTCCAATGAAATTTGATACCTTTGTAAATTTTATTATTTTGTTATTTATTTTAAAGTTAGGGGCTGTCTGTATGAATCTGTTTTTAAAATCGAATTGTATTTTCAAAAGTCAGTTAGAATTTCAAAATTCTAAAAATTATGGCGAAATATTGAATACGACTCAGGTGTATACCTACATATAAACTTATTTTATTCCTATAAGCCTCTAATGCGCATAACTGATTGTTTATTTTTCAAATGTATCTGCATTGCAATTGTAAAAACATTTTTATATTTGGTCTTGAAAGTGTGCTAAAATCATTAATATTTTAGAACTTTAATTCAACGTTGAGCTTGATTTTAAATACAACTAGCAATATTTTTGGTGTAATTTGACATCTAACTAGGTATTCTATAAAAAAAGAACCCTAGAACAA